GATTGACTTTAGGAGTTGGGATGGAGGGCACAGTTTTATGGTGGTTTACCTCTTTCCTATGGGACTGGTCCCAATTGCTGTTGATCAGGAAAGAGAGATGCAGCTGCAGTCCTTGATTTGTGAGGTACTGCAGGGTTCATTGCTCTCTTGTTTCCTTTTTAACATCTACATGAAACTGCTGGGTGAGATCATCCATCACCACAAGAGGAGCTACATTCAGTATGCTGATGATACCCAGTATACTGAGGTCCCATCCCACCTAATCAGACAGGAGGGTATATTGCAGGTGTATATCTCCATCTTGGATGAATTAAGGGATGCTATGAACTGTCTTTCATGGTGCCTAGAGGCTGTGGGGATCTGGATGGGGTACAAACAGGCTGCAACTGAACCCTGGTAAGATGGAGTGCTATGCATAGGTTTCTCTGTAACTGGGAGCTTACATCATTCATCCTGGATGTGGTTGCATTGCCTCGGATGGACCCGCTGTATAGTTGTAGGTTCCTCCTGGACTCACAACTTCTGCTCGAGAAGCAGGTGGCAGTTGTGGCTAGGAAGGCCTTTGCTCAACTTCATGTTGTATATCAGTTTTTCCCTTTCCTGGATCAAGAAGCCTTTTTTTCAGTCACTCGTGACCTAATCATTTTCTATATGCACTCTATATGGCACTATTCTTGAAGAAGTTGCAACTGGTGCAGAATGCAGTGGCATGAACAGTTCTGAGAGACCCTCAGACATGTAACACCTCTGCTATGCAAGCTGCATTGGTACCAGTTTGCTTCCGAGTCCAATTTGAGGTTATCATTTTTAAAGCCCTTTGTGGCATGGGACCAGCCTTCCTGAGGAACTCTCATCCCAATTACATTGTCCCATCCCACCTGATCAGACAAGGAGGGTACATTGCAGATCCCATTGGTTAAAGAATTTTGACTGGTGGGTCATCTTTGCAACATCTTATTCCCAGAGGTGAGGTGAGACCCCATTCTTCTGTCCTTGCAAAAGAATGTTAAGACCTGGCTCTGCCAATTGGCATGGAAGTTAACGAGTGATATCGACCTCAGGGGTGACTGTTGAGGTGAGAGTGCTCCCTCCATCTTTTTTTAATATGTAATAACTTACTTTCAACTTTGTCCTTAAGTCTGTTAACTTTGTTGTATTTATGGTTTTATGCCACTTTTTACATTTTTATGGTAAATCGCTCAGAATCACGTAAATGAGATGGCTAATGTAGAAATTTGATAGATAGATAGATAAATAAATGCTTCAGATAATCATTTTCACATTAGCCTGCCTTTGCTTCCTCCCTATGATTAAAAATTTAAGAGTTCCTGATAATACCTTTCTTCATATTTTTGTTGCCTCAAAAATGAAAATTTGCAATATATATTTCAAATTCATGTATTATCTATGAGATAATATGACATTGATCCTGGTTTGGTTTGGTTTTCTCATCAGGCTTTCATTTGGAGCAACATCTTAGTGAAATTGCATTGCAAACAGCTCTTTCCAGTTCCTCAAGACATTATGCTGGCCGCTCTTTTCAGATATTTCGGGCTCTAAAACAGCCACTTTCAGCACATGCATTGTCCGATCTGCTTTCAAGATTAGTGGAAGTTATAGGAGAACATGGAGAAGAAATTCAGGTATAAATACAATCCTATCTTGTCTATGTAGAAACCCCAAAAAATTGCCTTTCATTGTTGGACAATCTAACTCAGTGTTTTTCACAAGGACTAGCAGTTTCTTTGCTACTTTTTTTCTTAACTTTAGCTTAGCAATATCAAGAGTATGCACCATTTATCATAAACAGTATCTCTTTCACTATTAATTCCAAAAGTCATACTAGAGTGTATTTGAATATTTAATGAAAAAGTGCATTTGACTATTTAATGAAAACTAAGATTAGGCAGTAGACATTTATGAGTCACATTACTGGTAGTAATGGAATGATTATATTATTGTTGGAGCTGCCCAGAGTTGCTTAAAATGGGTCGCCATAGAAATAAATAAAATAAGTAAATAAGTAAAATAAATATACTGAAATGATCATATTTCTGTATCTTTGGCAGGGTTATGTTATGGAAGCCCTTCTTACATTAGAAGCCACTGTGGATACTCTGTATGATTGTCTGAAGAACAGCGATCTTTTGACAGTTTTATCACGGTAATGAGTTTTCTATTCAATTAAAGATAACATTTTTTATAAATTTTTGGCTATAGAATTCAGAATGCAACCGCCTGGACTAGTTCGGAGACTGAAAACTGAGTGCCATTATTTATGAAGGCTCACATATTCCTGTTTCATTAGATAAGCATACAGTATTTAGTTTTCTATGTCCATTGGGAAGTCTTTCATCTGGATTTCAGCTGTGATAACAGCTGCAACTGCGTCATTTACTTCCCCTGTGAAATAAATTATTAGAATTTTAAAAACTGGAATAAAGCATCTACTAAAATTGGCATGGCTTGAGGCAAAGTCGCCTCTTGTGTCACAAGCTTCCCACCTCAGTTATGTTACATTTTGCAATGATTTGCATATATTGACATTTGTGAGTGATTACAAAACATTTGATATTGAAATGCTAGTAGTTTCCTTGTTTCCCAGCAGTGAAGCATAATAAAATCTGAACCCTTTTAGAGATGAACAAGTATTACCTTCACCTTTATGTTGTCCCCTGTCATGTCAAGTTACTAGTTTGTTGGTAGAGTAGAACGATGCATGAATAAAGAGAAAAAAGAGAAACAGAAAAGGAAATACTCTTCTGAATGGTGCATGAAAAATGAAGCCAACAGCCTGGGTTCAAGACCCAAGCGTCACACAACCGGGTGAGCACCTGTCTTCGCCTAGCTCCTGCTCGCCTAGCAGTTCAAAAGTATGCAAATGCAAATAGATAAATAGGTACCACTTCAGTGGGGGGGGGAAACAGTACTCCACAATATCATGCTGGCCACATGACTACAGAAACGTCTTCAGACAGTGCTGGCTCAACAGCCTTGAAACAGGGATGAGTGCTGCCCCCTATGGTCAGCAACGACTAGCAGAGTAAAGTCCACAGGGATTCCTTTCTTTGACTCAGTGCTGTATTGTATGCATTTAAATCTTTCATACATTCCATTATAATTTTACTCTCTGCTTTCTAAAAAAGTTTTCTTAAAACATAGAGGACGAAGATGGCTTACATAGTGCACTTGTGGGAGGTTTAGCACAATAATTTATTTTCCTTGAAATCTGGCAAGAAATCAGGACACAATCTTGAAGGTCACTAGTGTTTCAGAAAAGAGTCTGAAGGCCTTAATTAGGAGGGCAGATTATCCTTTACATCAGCAGCCCCCAATCTTTTGGGCACCAGGGACTGGTTCCATGTAAAGAGGTTTTTCCACAGACTGGAAGGAGTGTGGTTTTGTGTGCTGTCTGCATCTTGCAGATGGGGCTTCGCTTGTTTACATGGCCTGGTTTCTGGCATGTTGCGGCCCTGTGCTGATCCACATTCTCGGGGTTGGGGACCCCTGCTTTACATACTTGTTATTAGCTAAGTCTTCTCTCCCCATAAGGGGAGACTTTTCATGGAGGATATAATTTACTATCCAAATGATCTTTTAGGATAATGTGAAAAATAATATGGGTCTAGTGGGGTGAGCCTTCTTCCTCCTTGCAGGAGAGGGCGCTTAGGGATGTGCTAGAATGGGGAGTGAGGGTGCACTTTTCCTAGTGATCCATGGCTTCTTCTGTTCCCCCCTCCCCCCAGCAAAGTGGCAGTTAATTCCATGGATCAGTTGAGGAAGAGGAAGACGCTTCAGCGGGTTCTTCTGAGGGTATCAAGGGGAGGGAAGCAGCACAAGCCTATACTATATATGGAAAGAGCAAGTCATGGGTTGTTTAGTGTTAGCTAAAAGCTTCATCTTCTTATTTAATAGTTGGAAAGGCACTTAGCAGTCCTAGTTTGATTTAACCAGAACCTGAAGATAGAACTATTTTCAAGAGCATTTTGCTAGCAAATGTCCCTATTTATATCCTTTGTGGTGTTGCCCACGGACCACTCTGGAAGACTTTTCCTATAAATCAGGTTGCCTATTGTTTATAATTTGCATTTCTATTATTTGCCTCTAAGTTGCTCATCTTACTATTATAAAATTGTAAGGACATTCTTATTCTTTGTATGTTTTTTAAAAAATAATATTTCTATTTTGACAAGTGTTTTGCCAGTTTTATCAATTAGATATTGCACATATTCTTATTTTTCATAATTTATTTTTTTATCTAAAGGCACAAAATACTGTGTAGGACAATGAAATTATTTCCCTCATGTAGCGGATGATCAATGTTAGTTCCTTCTTTTCTAATTTGTCATTTGTTGTATGTTTGTCCAAATTATATTATTTTTATTTATTTATTATATTGTGAA